GCATGGCTAACTCACAGATCCAACCCTGAAACAACCTCTGGGCTGATCTAAGTCAGGGCATGGCTAACTCACAGATTAAACCCTGAAACAACTTCTTGACCGTTCAAGTTTAGGGAAGGGTTAACTCACAGATTAAATTCAAATTTAGCTTGTTAGGTTTTGCAGAGAAAAACTCATAAATCAATAGAGAGGCACCCAACAAACTCTACTTGCATATGGTTCCCATTGAATTGGAATTGAAACCTTGGATCCCACAGGTTAAAAATGAATCATCCTTGATTCTCCAAGGGAATCATACTAAGGAGAGAACACCACATCAAACAAACCCAACTCACATTGATTGTTTGACTGAAAGATTGATTGAATTAATGATTGATTGACAGGGGAGAGTCTGGAGCAGGTAAAACAGAGAACACCAAGAAAGTTATTCAGTACCTTGCTGCTGTTGCTGGGCATTCTTATGCGAAACTTCATCAAACTCCACAGAAAGATGGACATGTAAGTAGTGCAATAAACCTCTAAATCTTAATCTTTTTCCATTTCAGACCATGTGTCATTCTCTGGATAAAATTCTTTGTTTGAGTTGTATCCACATTCATGTGCCTTCTTCTGTGTACAGCCAATAAACAAAGAAAGGACTCCCAAGAGAATGACAATGCAAATGATCGTCTGAAATGGGAAAACATTATACCCTGAGTAGAAATGCCATAGTCGTGTCTACTTTCTCTGATATTTCATCCGAAATAAAATAAAAAAATTCATTTGGAGAGGGTAACAAATTGTATTACATATTTATATTTCACTATTTAAGCAAACTTATGTATTTGTAGCAGTTAAAATTTTTTTGGAGGGAGGGGGGAGGGGGTAAAATTTCCAGATCAAAGGCGGCACCTACTGATGTATCATTTTAAGTGCCCAAAATCTTAATAGTTTTTGACCTTCACTCAGGTACTTAGCTAAGCAGACTTGTCATGGTCATCATCATCATTATCACCATCACCATCATGGTCATCATCCTTGTCATTACCATAATTTTCATCTCCATCATTGTCATCATCATCATTGCCATCATGATCTTCATTGTCCTTCATATCATGCATTCTTCTTATGTTGTAGGTTGAACTAGAGAGACAGCTTCTAGCTGCTAACCCTATCCTAGAAGCCTTCGGTAATGCAAAGACTATCAAGAACGACAACTCTTCTCGTTTTGTAAGTCAAAAACTGTGCTTTTGGTTCCTGTTTTTGTCATTCAGACAGGGATGTTATTATATGGAATATCCGCACACATGCGCACCAAATAACCTATTTTTTTATACTTCATAAAAGGTCAACAAATGATTTTTTTAAGTATTGTCTTCATTCGTGGCAGTAGAACAGATATAAGAATAGATTGCCTTACACTCAACAATATTACTTGCAAAGTGGTGGCTTGTGATTCTTTTGTTAGTCAGTATGAGAAGACTAAAGACCCCCACTCCACTGTATATTTTATATGTGCCAGGGCTTAAAATAACTACTGGACAGAACTGGGACCTTGCTTTGCTGGGCATTTTGACCAGTTAAGATTTAGTCAGAAAAAAGATATGACTAAGCTAAAACTAATTTGGTTTTTGATCATAACAGGTGACTTACCAGCAATTATTTTAAGCCTTGTGTTCAATTTTATACACATATAAAAAAGCTATATAAACACTTCAGTATAATATATAGTGGTATTCGATTTTAAGTGGGTTGGTCATTGTATTTGACATAGTTTGTCATTTTGGTTGTCTGTTTCAGGGTAAATTTATCAGGATCAACTTTGATGCTTCAGGATTCATATCTGGGGCAAATATAGAAACTTGTATCCTTGTTATGTTATATTCTAATGTCAGTGCTGTCACCACAACAGCCAAGGCTGCCGCTAATACCATCACCATCAATATCAAAGCCAGCAAGACCTATGCTGTGTAACGAAACTAGCAGTACGAGCACTGTCATCCTTATCTCCAATACTAATATCACTCATTTTAATCTTAGTCCACCCACTTTCTCTTAAAATTATTCTCTCTGTCCATGAATCACACCCGGGGGGTACTCTTGCATGTTTAGGGTAGGGATGTGCCGCTGAGCCCTCTGAACCCTGACCCTGTTCCAGAGTAAAATCCCTGGAATTCATACCCTGTTCCAGAGCAAGATCGCTGAAAGCCCTGTTCAAGAGAGGAGAGAGAGCGTGGTTTCGTATGTACCCTGTTCCAGAGTAAACGCGATTTTATATACCCTGTTTCAGAGTAGAATCGCTGAAAACCGTACCCTGTTTGGCGGCACGTACCCGTGTAGTGAATATAGGGGAGTACCCCCCCCCCCGGGAATCACATAATCAACACCACCCCCACAACAACAACAACAACAACATAGTTAACACCTGTGCAAGAATTGTATACCTTGACGTGCATAACAGATTTGTTAGAGAAGTCACGTGCCATTCGGCAAAGCAAAGATGAGAGAACATTCCACATATTTTACCAAATGTTAGAAGGGTTGGATTCTAAAACTAAAAGTGAGTATAACTATTAGATGGCTTACAATGATGCACCTATTTCTAGCCCAGATTTTGATTCCTTGTCATCTGTATAAAATAATCATCTCCTGAATGCCTAGAAATCCACTCGTCATCCTAGATTTTAATTTATATTCTGTCCCAGTTTCTTGCATCACACATGTAACAAAGAAATGCATAAATACCATGGACTGTGTCTCATTTTCTCGCTGGACTCTGAAGATGACTTCCGCTCAGGTTGTCGAAACGTCAGTCACCACCAACAACAGCCTTTCTCAAGACTACATTCACTCGGAGGATCACATTTCTTAACAAGCTTCAACACCTGGGTTCAAACCATTTACTCTTAAAGAAATGCATGCTTGAACCCACCCGTCCCCCCCCACCCTGGACGCCACGTTACGCATGGTCTGTAGGTTCAGGGTGTAAGATTACAGCCAGTCATTGAACAATGTCCACCTAGAATTGGTACTTGTCCAATCAAATCTTTGCCTTGCGGTCATTTTAACCAATAACGTTAAGCCATAAATGAGGTATGACCAAATTAAAAATGATCAGCGACTTTCCAACTGTATTTTAAGCCCTGAGGTTTGAGTTTTTTGTCTTTAGATTTCATCCCCCTTGTTATTTATCTTCCTTTCAGGTGAGCTGCTTTTAGGTAAGCCAACAGAATACAGGTTTTTGAGCAATGGCGCTGTTCCTGTCCCTAGCATCGATGACAAGGCAGAGCTGCAGGATTCCATTGTAAGTTTTTGTCATCATTACTTTTCAGATACAGTAAAAACCCATGAGTAAGAACCTGTTAGCCTCAAATTTGTCATTTATACCCCTTTAAACAAGAACCTGTTTAGCCTAGAAAATGAAAAACAGGTTCTTATTTTCAAAAATCATCATTTAGTGATACAGAGCTGAGTTAGAATCCTGTTTGGAAAAATAGGAGCTTGCCATTGCTGTGCAGATAAATCAACTAAATGTTCTAGGGTGCTGTTGATGGGAGAGGGGTGAAAAATAGGCTGATTACCATTTTATCTTGAAGCTGGATTTTATTTGTTTTTACACAGGAATAAGAACCTATTTAAGAACCTAGATAGCCTAAAATTGTGTTAACTACCATTTAAACAAGAACCTGTTDAGRCYAACTCTAAAAATGTAGGTTCTTACTTGTGAGTTTTTACTGTACAAATCTAGGATGAAAAAAGCATTTGCTTAGAGGTAGAGTTGGTTTTTGGGGGGGGGGGGGGGAGGATTTTAACCATCCTCTACCCCTCTACCCTGAGTATGAAACATTCTGCCATTGCTCAGTATAATGCTCTTTTCCTTGATGTTTGGAATGGGATTACGAGTTAGTTTGAGGTACAATCTTCCATTTTTTATAGAGTTGTCTCAAGGATATGAACCTACATGACGATGATGTCAAAGGTATAGTATATTATAATATATTATAAGTTAGAATCTATTAAGTCAATGTTAGGCTCAATATGTCCACATTCAGTTCAGAATTCTTGTAGATAATGAATCTATATCCTTTTAGCTCAGTGTTAGAGCATCGTACTGACATCCTGAGTCATTTACTCAATATGACATATAGCCTGCACACTGCTAGGCTCAATATGTCCACATTCAGTTCAGAATTCTTGTAGATAATGAATCTATTCTTTTACAGTAGCTCAGTGTTAGAGCATCGTACTGACATCCKGAGTCATTTACTCATTATGACATGTAGCCTGCACACTGCTAGGCTCAATATGTCCAGATTAAGTTCAGATCCTTGTAGATAATGAATCATTCTTGTAGCTCGGTGGCTATAACATCATACCGGCATCCTGAAGATGTTTGATTCCGATCACTTTAGCAGTTATTTTTTTGGGTTCAATAACCATCAATCATAATTCATTAGGGCACATAAAGGTACATAAGGGTACATAAAGGCACATAAAGGTACACAGAGATCTTTAGAAGGACCCCTTTAGAAGACACATGGGAAATTACTTCAACATTGTATTTCAATAAGGGTAGCCCAATTATCGTGTCTTGACTGCTGTCTTAATCATTAAAAACAGAAAAAACATTAATAACATTGATAAATTATTAAAACATTATTTTTGTATCAGCTTTATTCAAAGTTGTATCAGCTGTGCTACAGTTTGGAAACTTGGTTTTCAAACAAGAAAGAAACTCAGACCAGGCTATTCTACCCAACAATGAAGGTGAGTAACCTGTTGATATGTTTAGTATGTTGGCTACCAATAAGTCACCAATATTATACCATGCAGTAGTACCTCTAGAATATGGCCAAGGTCTTAAAGCAGCCAAAATATCCTAGTCTCAAAGAGGGTTTGTATAGGAAAGGCTCGTGCAATTACAAGAACTTTCAAAACATTACTCATGTCTATTAATTTCCAAATTGTACGAGAAGATCGTATCAGTAAAAAATGCGAAGCGATGCCGTTCATCTTTGTCTATTTGCCGGCCGATTTTCAGTCCATCGCGCAACTGAAATGCATAAAAGAGATTAGTTCTTATTAGTTTTTACAGCTTTTTTTTTTGCTGCTGTTGACATTATTTTGGCCATGTTTCCATAGCAACTTAATTTGGTACTCCTACGGAGTACAATTAACGCTATAATTGTACTCCTCTCGACCAATCACAGTCGAGTAATTTTGTTGAGTGTACTATAATTGCAGTAATTTATACCTCTATTTAGTGACCAATTTCTATTTAACAACCAGTTGTCAATGTCCAAAAGAAGATTTTTCCACAAATTTATACTTTGAAGCATCCAACCTTCAATTAACAGCCAGTTGTGAAAGTCGCAAAGAGGGTTTTTAAAGAATTTATACCTCTATTAAGCACTCAACCCCAACATGTATTAAGCAACCGGTTGTTTAAAGTCCCAAAGAGAGTTTTTGCACTACCTTACAACTCTATTAAGTGTGTTTGAATATTGAATATTAACTTATTCATTTATTACAGTTGCACAAAAGATTTGCCATCTTTTAAGCATGCCAGTGACAGAATTCACTCGCGCCATTCTGAGGCCAAGAGTAAAGGTTGGAAGAGACTATGTCCAGAAAGCTGTTACCAAGGACCAGGTAGGTGTCTTTTGCATTGAGTGGCAGCTGTCATTTAAGCTACTGTATTTGTGTAAAATACTTTCTATATTATAATTATTGTAAGGTGATGTTAGTGAAGGAGTGTTAGTATTATTGGAAAGAATAATGATTATGATAGAAGTGGTGGTGGCGATGATCATTAGGATGATGATACATGATGATGATCACAACAATGATGAATATAGTGTTGTGATGATGATGATGCATGATGATGATGATGGTGATGATGATGTTGGTGATGATGATGATGATGGTGGTGGTGATGATGATGATGGTGATGATGATGATGGTGGTGATGCTCATAGATGTGATGATAAAGATGACAATGACGATGGTGATCATGAAAGGGAATGAGAATGATGATGAAATCATTGATGTTGGATGATGACGATGGTGAAAACTGGTGATGATGCATGATGACAGTGGTGGAAACTGATGATGCTGGATGATAACGATAGTGCATAGATATTATATCATATTTCCTCGGGTATAACATTCCATAATTTTTCCTACTTCACAGGCTGAGTCATCAACAGAAGCCATAGCTAAAGCCCTTTATGAACGTATGTTCAAATGGGTGGTAGGCAAGATTAACAAGTCCCTTGACCGTACTAAGAGAGAGGGTGCTTCCTTTATTGGTATCCTCGACATTGCTGGATTTGAAATCTTTGAGGTAATAAACAATACTTCATATACTGTACACACCTACAACATGTAGTATATGGATATGGATGCACTGTCCCTATGTTACCTTCCCCAATTCTTTGGCTCCTTCCATGTACATGGCTATGCCTATATAATTATTTTTCAATTCGTCCTACACAATGCACATCCAAGCACATCTAATCCAACCCTGAAACAACCTCTAGGCGGATCTAAGTCAGGGCACGGCTAACTCACAGATAGATCCCTGAAACAACCTCTGGGCTAATCTAAGTCAGGGCATGGCTAACCCACAGATAGAACCCTGAAACAACCTCTGGGCTGATCTAAGTCAGAGCATGGCT